TCTTTTTTCCCCAAAAAAAAAAAAAAAGAAAAATAATAATAATAATTAGATTAATCTAAAACGAACCGAGTCGTTGCAACTAGACAACTCATATATACATTTTTACTTACTTGAAGATTGTGATTTTCAGCATTCGAATCGTCAAGATCGCCTAATAGCTTTTGTTTCAAGTGTAATAGTTTTTGACTCTCAGAAAGATTACTGAACTGTTTACTTTCATACAATATTCCTTCATGGCTGATAAGCTGGCTGCTGGCCTGAAAATCTCCAAAAGGGCTATTTCTCGATCTGTAAGAGGTTGTGAAGCTGTTTTCTTGGAAATAATCAGACTGGGATAAGCCCAAACAGTGTTCAGCTGCATAACCAATCCTGCTTGTGATTGTGCTGGTTAAGTTATCAGGCATGGAATATTGAAGCTGGGAGTGAATTATTGGTTTTCCTTGTGATTGGTATTGCAATCCTGTTTGTTGGTGGGGATTAGCATAAGGTTGATGATCATCTGGGAATTGTGAAGAGGGCTCATTTGCAAATCCATAGTTTTTCTGTATGCTTTTCATTTTTTATTTTTTAAAGAAAATGATTAAAAAGGAAAAGTAATGTTATTAGGTGAGAAATAGTGGTAATGTGTGATATCAACAAGTAAATGTCATGAAATTCTTTTGTTCTCCATTTTTTTTTATCTAAATATGATGCAAATCTTGAAACGCAAGCATGAATCTTTCAACAATTGAAGGCTGGAATTAATTATTCCTTAAATGGATAGGATTGAATGAATGATCACTCGACACTTCCCACGTTTGCATGTTGTATGATTCTCAACTTTTTTTCCATAATTTAGAAAGAGATGTTTTTTTATTAAGAAGGGTATAAATGTGCATTTTTTTTTAAAAAAAAAAATATAAGGAATCGACCCTCCTAACAATTAGGCCGCGACCCTCCTAACAATAGGCCGCCTCATACAATATTTTTTTGGGCATATGTAAATAATTGTTTCAAATTAATAATTCTTAAAAACTCAAAAGGTTAATAATGTTCTGGCAAGAGATTATTAAACATGGGCAATACGGCATAAAAGCTATGAATTTTTGCTATTTGTTATATGTTTAATTGACATTGATTCTGTTAGTTAAAATGGCATCTAATAGTACAATGAGTTATATGTGACCATCCGCTGATACAATCAGCTATGAACTTAAAGCTTTAGTTTGATTAAAAATGAGGATGCTATTTATAGTTTTCCAAAACAATACAACATTTATTCACCTCTCCTACTACAGTTAAATATCATGATTTTTAAAAAATAAATAAATAAATTCCATTGTGCAAATAGTGATTTTTCAAGAATAAAATGTATAAAGGGTGCATAAAATTAATTTGAGACTAATAAGCATGGGAATAATGTAGTTATCAATCTATTTTCCTAACCCATTACATAGATTCAAAAGTTTCATTTTCTTTTGAGATGTGTTTGTATGGATAAAAAATTGACACAATTAGCTAGGAGAAAAGAGAATTAGATGCTTTATCATTGAATTTCAAGTACAAAAAAAATCCCTTCATTGGTAACTTCGTTTAGTGAAGCATTTTAGTTATTTTTTTAATTGATTTAATTAGGTTCGTTTGCGCAATAGTTTATTGAAATTGATAGAATGTTGTAAAATTGATAAATAATTAACATTTAATTGTTTACAAAGATCTCTATTTTTGAACTCTACTAATCTATTATAGTCTGACTGCGAGGATCATTTTATGTTAATTATTTACAATACTTGTAAAAACTCTACTAATTAAAAAACCTTCAAGTTCGTGTTTGTTTAAGCTCATGAATGCTGGGCTCGACTTAATTCAATTATGCAATATTAAAAGCAAAGATTAACATTTTTTATTAATTATTTAATTACGCTTTTTTTCTGTAAATGCTCCTGTTTAAAAAGATCAGAATGTATTCCATTTATTCATTATTTATTTATTTTATTGGGTGATGACTAATGAATCGCATCTCACGCTTCGAGGAAGAACAATTTGCTTAAAAGGGTTTTAGATTTAGAGAGAATCTTACATTTTTCGAGTTTTTAAAGAACAATTGGTTCAATGCCCTCTTTTTTAAAGGTTTGTTTTTTATTAGCCTGTCTAAATACTCCCTTTCTTTGTGATTTGTTTCGTGTTAGAAAGTCTAACCTCTATACTTTTACGATTTGCCCCTTTTACGATTTGCCCTTTACTAGGCAAATATATATAGTTTTATGCTAATATACCGTAATATAAATATGAATATTTTGTAAGAATGTGAAAGTGACTAATAAAGCACTCTAATAGCAACTATGATATTTTTTTTTTCATTTGCTATTATTCTTATTTTTCATTTATGTTTCTGGTTATTTTATCCATATATCGTGGATGGCCTAACAGGCCCAACTATAATACGATCTTCTTGGATGGGCTTAATTATGCACGAGCTCATGTTGTACATTTATTCCCTTAGGCCTAGGTAAATAATACCACAACAGAGGATGATCAAAGGACCATACAATAGGCCCAATATTTTTGCACCATACCCGTGGCTAAGTGCAAAACACGAAGTAAAATGACGCAAAATTTTAACAGTAACAAATATCGTTCAAGACTTTTTTTTTTTAATTACGTCTAAAAATGTAGTTCAACGTGATAGTAATATTAGTTTTCTAATTCACATTAATAAAATAAGATGAAATAAAATAGCAAGACCCGAATGTCGGCAATTGATTTTGCTATGGAGCCAACAGTTGGCTCCATAGCAAAACCGGGTTAGCATTACTTCAATCTTCATTTCATTCATTTCCAATATATGGAAATTAATTATAATAGTAGTTGGATAATATCGGAATGAATGGCCATATTTTATAATCATTTCAATAATCTAGCTTCATGAGCTTTGAATTGAATAATTAAACTCTAAAATTGAACTTTTAGTCAGATCAACAAAATTTAAAAGATTCCAACACAATTATAAAAGTTTAAAAGTATATTTCCAACACAATTTGTAAAATAAAGGAGGAATTTCAAAATAAAGTATGAAATAGTTGTCATTCAGTAAAAAGGAGCCATGATGGTAAGAAAAGGATTCATATGGAATATCAAAAAGGAAAGGTAAAGTATTCCAATCTTCCATTTTTAGATTGAGTTCGCCTTTTTCGTACATAATTAAGGGGCTTCATATACTTCCCCTAGAAAATTTGAAACAAAAAAAAAAGGTGCTTTATTTTTTTTGTGTAACTATTGTTGATTCTTTTTTTTTTTCTATTGTTGATTCTTATCTAAATCATAATTTGCAACTTTTTTTTCGCTTGCAATCTAGTTTCACCTATTTATTTAAGGAATCCAATGTTTTGCATACCATCGTACGTTACCTTTTTATTTTTTCTAAACAATACCAAACGTTAATTGATGAGAAACATTCGTCTTCATGTCATTGTAATGTAACTTGGTCAAAGCAGATGAAATTTCTCCATTTTAATTAATGTCACATATTTTAAGTACAACTCATTATCACATAACAAACAAACAAACAAAAAAAAAATTATAAAGTATAGACGACAAACGTGAGCAATAATGCGTAGAAGATAAACGTGAACAGTTATCATAAAAGATTTAAAATCTGGATTGGCCTACAAACAATGTCTTACAAACGGTGAAATTTGAGCTGACGACCATTTAGTATGTTGCTCTAGTCTAGGCGGGATGAAATTAGTCAAACTCGTCGATCCGCTTTCGAAACATTATAATAGCGATTTTTGCCAATGCACATCATTCAAAACCCTAATTAAAAGTGGGCTTCCACATTATCTGGAATTAGACATATAACAATGGTTTGATCTTAAATAACTTGTACAAAAAATTATATATTTGTGAAAAAATCTTTAATTAATTGAAACTAGTTGGGCTGATTACGAGGGAGAATCTCGGATGGCTGATTTGCAGAACTGTGTTTGTGTTATACGGTGTTTCACTGTTTAATCTGTTATGTAAAGATTAAAAATTTAAAGGAGAGCTTTTTAATTATTGTATAGTTTAATAATCATGCACTTAAATAATCTTTTAAAAAATCGAAGTTTCCAACAAATCTTACTCTTTTGTTTGGTTGCAGATCAAAATTGAGCAAGGAAAGCGCTAGATTCAGTATTGGTATNTTATAATATTTGTTTTGCGGGGTACTCTTTTTTTGATTTATGATTTGATTTCAAATAAGACAATTTAATCTTAGCAGTATTGTTTATTTATATGAAACATTAGTGGGTAATTAGGTTAAGTAGCTAATCGTGAGTAGAAACAAGCAAGTAACTACAATTGAGAATTGTAAAACTAAAATTTAATCATATTGTGTGTAGAAAATTACAAAAGAGAGAGTTTTTTTTGCAGCATAACAAATGCGGAAAACATGGAGAAGGGTATAGATAACTAAAACTAGGTGAAGAAGGAAGACTAATATTATCTCATCCTGAAAGCGTATATTAAATCAATAAAATTCAGTTGAGATGGCGTGTTTATAGGTCGGGAATAGAACAGACTAGACTCATAAAACCGAATTAACTTAATCTATCATTTTTTTAAACTGAATCGACCGGACTTTACCCAAAATTGAATCGAAATAATAGGTTGATTTGGTCTGTTAACCGAAGTATATTATAATTTATAATAAAAATAGACATATTTAATTTTCTTATCTATTAATATAACATATTAGTTTTGTTCAAAATATAAAATATATATAAAAAAAATAAAAAAATATCAACAATCAGACTGACATATAAAAATAGAATCAATCAAACTGACATATGAAAATCGAATCAAAGTTTATATTTCGATTGGCTATTTCAGTTATAACCATTATTTGACGCCAGAAACAAGTAACTCAATTTCTTTTTAATACTAGTTCAATGGCCTCCAAGTGATCAATCTTGATACTTAATAAATTAACATGAAATGAATGTTTCCTTATTTAATTTAAACTATAGTTAGAATATTATTAGGTTGGTCTAACGATTAAATATTAATACTTTTTGAACATACAATTCTTTCAAAACAAAACATTCATATTTTGAAAACACAATGTTGCTATAAAATCAACACCCAATGATTTTGTTCCATGTGGGGCTGTCCCACATGGGCTCTACGTGGGACAGCCCCACATGGAGCTGTCTAATTGGGTGTTGGTTCCATAAGAGAACCAACCAGTTGGTTTTATAGCAACATTGTTTGAAAACAACATAAATGGTGGTGTCATGACATTTTCTTTATTTTTGATAATAAGAAAAAAAAAAAAAAATATCATACGGATCGACTTATACAAAAATTTGTGAATAGACTAATCTATACTTATATAATAAGAATTAACCTTTTTCAAAATTAGTAGGTCAATTCTTAGTCAACATCCTGTCTGCATTAAATGTTTACTAAAATTAGTAACTTTTATGTCTTTTTCACACTTTTTTTTTTATGTCCTTTTCACACTAGATTATATAAATGAACGGATATTATCTCACCTTTCATTAATCTCACCTATAATTCATGTGAATTGATT